AGATGACGGCCGCGACGTCCTCTCGCGAACCGAAAACGGCCAATTCGCTCATCGACGTGTCAGGGTAGGAGGTCTGTCCACCCCCGACATATCACGACCTGCACGGAGCCGAGGAGCCTTATGGCAGGAAAGGCCAGGACCACTGAAAACATGGGTCACGGCCTCCACCCTGGGGATCCTCGAGACCTTCATCTCCACAACGCCGTCGACTGCGCTTAAGTCGTGCCTGTCCCTCTACAGGAGGAAGACTAAAAAGTAGTCCAAAAATAGCCTGGGGACGATTTTTGTTAGTATGTTTTAGCCATGTGGGCGCATGTTTTGGCAATTCTTTCATTTTTCGTCCAAAACCCCCCTGTAGGGAGACAAGCACGACCTAAGACTGCGCCGAAAATGAGGACCAGGTCCACCGCCATCATCGTCACCTCCTTGATCCGGAAGCCCTCCGCCGTCACCACTACCACGTTCGCCAAGAGGAGTACCACCACCAGCATCATCCCCAGCACGTACACGGTCACCTCACCGATACCGGTCCAGTGTGTTTTCGGCCGCGATCATGAGGGCAGTGCCAGGATTCGGATATGGTGAGAGCATGAACCACCGCAAGCATGCAAGGCCTCAGGACGCCAGCACCACCCTCAGTGTGGATCTTGCACGTGTATTTATCCACGAGCCCCCGTGTGTTGAAGATGCCATGCATGGTGGTTGTCTATGCCGCGCAGGACACGGCATCAGGGACCGACAGCGGGGAGAAAAGCGAGTCTGCAACTACAGACGTGTTCCCCAAAAGAGAACAGCACCTACCAATGACATTCTGGGTGACGAATTCTCTGCAACGGCGAAATGAACATGTCACGGAATACTTCTTGGAGATAGTGAGAATGCCAACGAGTCTGAGGAAAAGCGGTATGCCTGAAGTGAACCACGCCAGTTCGTATTGACGTGGTGACATGCTGCAGGAGGGCATACAATAACGGCGATGGGACATGTATAGAGAGTGAACAGCGCGCGTCTATACAAGAAGGCGCTATCTGAAGGAGTTACCTGCTGAGCGAGTAACAAGATCCATCGAGATGAACAGTTATACGAACGCGTTTGCTGGGTTCGCATGTAGTGGAGCCACCAAATCAGCAAATGCTTGGCTGAATCACTAACGAGGAGGAGGAGGACCAGTGCAAACCCAAGACGCATCAACGATGCTGCAATAAACCCACCCTCCAAATTCCCCCTCCACAAGTCCCTACCAGAGATTGCTCTCATTGCGGGAAGGACCTCATTGGAAGCCAACCGTCTGAGAATCCTCGGTCGTGCCAGAAGGCCGTTGTTGGGACTACAACACCGCGAATTAACGCGATCGCTGCGCCCTCACAATCAAAAACCGTGTCAGAAAGCCAGTCGTGGAACTTCAACACGCAACGCCCGCCTGCCTCAGGCAAAACGCATAGCCCACCCTACCGACACGCGTGGGGGATGCGACAGGGAGGAGTTCTTGGTAAGGAAAAGATGGAAAAAGAAGGAGGAGGGGAAAGAGGGGGAGAGGACGCGCAAGGGGGAAGCGGAAGGAGAGGGGAAAGGGAGGGAGGAGGGGTGGGGAGGAGGGGCGGAGGAGAGGGGAGGGGGGGTTCATAACGCCCTGAAGTTGCATCGTCCTCCCCAGGCTGACTCTGTTGCTATTCCCTGCGATGCACGCGCTCTGTTATCCCACCAGCCATCTGGGCGCAGGTGGTTTGAAGAGATCGTTCTCCCCAACCCCCTCTTCCCCTTCACTCAAGGGGCCCAAGGACACACAAATAAATACACACAAATAAAATGATCCCCCATATTTTCCTATATTTTATGGGTTTTTGTCTTCCCGCCCACTTCCCATATTTTCCTATATCTGGGAAATCGAGGATTAATTGTGTCTGTGTGTTTCTTTTCCTCCTGATTCACGGAGGGGTTCACCCCAACTACCCCCTCCGCTGGATCTGGACGGGGGTGGCCGCAAGGGGATAGAGCGCCCAAGACGGCCGAAGTGTTGTCGGGTGAGGCTTCTGTAAGCCGAAGGGATCCCGCCGCTCCTCCCGCTCCTCCATTCCTCCCCCACCTCCCTTCCACCCTCCCAACCTCCTCAGTCCCTACCTCCAGCTCCATCCTTACCTCTCACTCCCCCTCCTCCTCTTCCCCCTCTTGAAAGGGCCGGGGATCCACCCCCACAACAATAACCCCCACACGCGAAGCCGTTTACGAAACGCCCCCATTCGAAGGAATCGAACAGGGCAGGGCTGTTCAGTAAACGCCCAGGGCCGTTTGGTAAACGCCAATTGTCTGGTCCGGGTGGTTTGTTTCTCCCTGGACTCTGGTACCTCCTCCTCCTTCTCCCCGGGAAGGCGCCAAGACTGCTCGTACTCGCCGAAGAGTGGCAGAATGTTGAGGGTCTCGCCGCACCTCCGCCAGGGGGCCCGTGCGCGGAGCGAGCTGAAGGGCCCCACTTCGCCTCCTCCCCCCTGCGGTTACGTGACAAGCACCTATGTTTTCAGGTCGGGCATGTCCTCCTACAGGCGGCTTCTGGACAAAACATCGAAATGTACACACACACACACAAAACAAACAAACAAACAAACAAACGAACAAACAAACAAACAAACAAACAAACAAACAAACGAACAAAAAATGAAGAATACGTCCCCCACTACTATTTCTTGACTCTTTTTGAACACTACTCCTATGGAGGGACGTGCCCGACTTATACCTACAACCCACCACCACCGTGCCTGGCATGGGCCACCCCGGCAGGCCCTGCAGGCCCTGCCATGGTGCGGGCCCCAGGGCAGGAGGGTCCACGCCGATGCTTAGAAGAAGAGAAAAGCATCATAATAATAATAATAATAATAGTAATAATAATAATAACAATAATAATAATAATAATAATAACCTTGTGGCGCTCCGCGCGTCCTTCTTGGACCCACACGGAGCGCCCAAAGTTTGCTCTGGGCTTCTTAGTAAGCATGGGGGGGGGCCCGCCGACGGCGGTCAACCTCGCCTCGTCGTCGCGCTGCGACGGGGGTCGGAGCGCCCTCGGCGCGCGGTGGCTGCCCGCGACGGGGGTCGATGTGGGGCCGTCGGCGTGCGTGACGCCCCCCCGACGCTTATGAAGAAACTCGGAGTATGTTTATGGCGTTGTTTCTTATTCGAATCCTGAGGCCCACGATGGCAGTGGCCAGGCACGGTGGCGGTGCACGGGTGCCTTCTGCGGAGATCTTCCCCCTGGCGGGCGTGGGCGAGACTGGGGGGACGACGACGACAAAAGACGACAAAAGACGACGACGGCGACGACGACAAAAGACGACGACGACGACAGAAGACGACGACGACGACAAAGGACGACGACGACGACGAGAAAAAAAAAAACACGAAGACGACGACGACCACGACGACGACGACGACGACAACAAAAAACACGACGACGGCGACAACAACAACAAAAAACACGACGACGGCGACGACGACGACGACGACGACGACGACGTCGTCTCGCGGCAGCGGCAGCGTGCGGTCCTGGCGCGTGCGCGACGCGCCTCGCCCGGGCGTCTGCTGCCGCGCACGCGGGGGGGGGGCGGTGCTGGCGGGCCGACCCTCTCTCTGCCCCTCGCAGTCCTCTCCTCGGCCCTGTCGTCCACTGCCGCGTCCTCGTCCTCCTGGCTTTCGCCCTCGTCTTCGCCCCCCTCCTCCTCCTCCTCCTCCTCCTCCTCCTCCTCCTCCTCCTCCTCCTCCTCCTCCTCCTCCAGTGCCCCGCCTCGTTCTGCCTCTCGCGGGCCTCGAGGCGGCGTGACCAGGGCGCGCTGACAGGAAGGAGCGCGACCACTCTGAAAAGGGATCGGCGCTCGCCATCCTCTCACGTTTGGTGCCTCCTCAGCCGAGCCCGGCCCCGCAAAGGCCACAAGAGGGCGCTCAACTGGCTTTCTCCTACGGGACACCCACATCACGGCTCCAGGACAACAAGAACTCTCACCCGAAAAGGTGCAAGATGCCAGAAGGCCAGCCAAAGACAGGCTGGCGACTCCCCAGCGAGGCTCACAGATGTCCTCAAGAGGCCCAAAGGGGCCCCGAAGAGATAGCCAAAGGAGCTTCCAGCAATATCCTCTGGTGCCAATCAAACCCTCCCCCTTGGAAAATAACATAAAACAAACAACAACAACAAAAACTAAGCATCCAACAAATTAGGTTGGTACGCCCCCAAGACGGCCCAAAGCCGGCCCGAAGATGGCCCTAACGACTGCCCGACAATACCCCACGGCCCAAGACGGCACAAGAAGGCTCCAAGACGACCCGAAGGTCGCCAGGACGTCACAAGATGGCTCAATCGCCCTTCCTCGAAAGCTCGGTAGAATCATCGCGCCCACGGATGTTCCCCCTGACACTTCGCCCTCCCACCCTCCTCCTCCTCTGGAACACCTCGGCCTAGGTGGACGCCGCGGCTCTCAGCGCGGGCATCCAGACAGACGGGCATCGGTGCCAGCCGCGAGGTGGCGATGGGGGGGAGGCCCCGCTGACCTCCCCGAGGACTGACTCTGCTCAGCCCGTAGGCCCCCCGAGCTCGACCCCTCCCCCGTCCATTCCGAGTCGCTTCCTCGTGGCCCGAGAGTCGGCCACTCCAGAGGTCGAGTCGAAACCCAGGAGAAACACCGGAGATCAAGTGAAAACAAATCCACCCGTCTGACCGTCTAGGTCTCTCTCTCTCTTTCTCTTGCTGGGAATCTCTGGAACTCTCCGGAGGTCCCCAGAGGCCTCCAGGGGCCCGTGGAAGCATTCGAGGGCCTTCGCATCCAGCCCAAACGTCCGAAGCCTACCTCCCTCCTCCTCCCTCCTCCTGAATTCTGATTCCTAGTGGCTGCATCGAAGCCAAGCCAGCCATGCTCCGCAGGGCTGGTGTTTAAAGCGGCGCCACTAACCGAAAAGAGGGATTACCCCAAGAGGAGAGGGAGAACGAGAAAGGGGACGGCACGGGAGGACACCAGCAGAGGAGGAGGAGGAGGAGGAGGAGGCGGAGGAGGAGGAGGAGGAGGAGGGGAGGAAGAGGGAGAGGAGGAGGAGGAGGAGGAGGAGGAGGAGGAGGAGAGGGGAGGCGAGGAGGAGAGGGCAGGAAGGCACGAGAAGGAGGGAGAAGAGCAGAAGGAGGGGAGTCCCAGAGCTCCCTCTCCTCCTCTTTCCTCCTCCTCCTCCCTCCCTCCTCCCTCCCTCCTCTCCCCTCCCCCTCCTCCTCTCCTCCTCCTCCTCCGCCTCCTCCTCCTCCTCCTCCTCCCCCTCATTTTCGTATTAATAGTTTTATGCTTCTTATTAGTATTATTATTAGTCTCATTAGTATGATTAAGATTGTTTGTCTCGTTCGTCTTCGTATGACTATTGGTATCCTTAGTCGTATTATTAGTATTAGTCTTATTAGTAGTACTCGTCTTCTTATTAGCTTAGCATTAGTATGCTTAAAATAAATATTAGTGTTGCTGCTCTTATTCTTAGTATTAGTATTATTACTACTATTATGATTGTTCGTCTTCTTATTATCCGTAGTATTCCTATTAGTCGTCGTATTATTGCTCGTATTATTAATATTATTATGAGTGTTAGTATTATTAGTATTGTTATTCGGCTTAGTAGTGTTCTTAGTATTATCAGTCTTATTATTACTGATAAGAACAATACTAGTAGTATTGGTATTATGAATGTTCGTGGTATTATTCTTCTTAGTATTAAAACAATGGCTCGTCTTATGTTTATTCTTAGTAGTATTATGAACAGTACTCCTCTGTTTATTATCATTATGATTATGATTCCTCCTCCTCCTCCTCCTCCTCCTCCTCCTCCCCCTCCTCCCCCTCCTCCCCCTCCCCCTCCTCCTGGAGCCTTCCCAGCCCGGAGCCCGCCAGGGGCCTGCCGAGAGCGGCGCCGCCGCGGCGGCCCGACTCCGCTCCCGCCGCCCCCGGCGGGCGGGGGCGCGACTCGCAGGCCGAGGGCGGCTCCTCGTCCTCCCCGAGCTGCGGACACGCAGGCTCCTGCGGCACCCCAAGGGGGGGGGGGAAAGGGAGGAGGAGGAGGAGGAGGAGGAGGAGGAGGAGGAAGACCAGTGCAAGCCCAAGACTCCCCCGGGGGGGGGGGGAAGGGAGGAAGGGAACGAGGGTCAGGTCGGGCACGTCCCCCTGCAGGGGGATCTTGGGCGAAAAATGAATCCAAAAGTGGTCTCCAGACTGTCTTTTTACTATTTTTGAGCAGTCCTCCCCGAGCGCCGGACACGCAGGCTCCTGCGGCACCCCGGGGGGGGGGGGAAGGGGAGGGAGGGAACGAGGGTTAGGTCGGGCACGTCCCCCTACAGGGGGATCTTGGACGAAAAAAACATTAAAATACCCAAACAAAATATTCCAAAAATGCTCAGAGATAGTCCAAAAATGGTCTCCAGACCATGTTTTTACTATGTTTGAGCATTCCTCCTGTGGAGGGACAGGCCCGACTTAAGACGAGGGAGAGGGCGGAGCGGAGCGGGAGGGGGAAGGGGGGAAGGGAGGAGAAGCAGGCGCGAGGAGCGAGGCTCGAGGCTCGAGGATCAAGGCTCGGGGATCGAGGGTCGGGGTTCGGGGCGCGAGGAAGGGAGGCAGTGCTCCCCCCACCCCCCCCTCGTACCCATAGGGGGGACGGAGAGGGCCATGGGTGCGTGCTGTCGGATTGGGGTGCCCGCTCGAACGGGAGCCTCCCCCGAGGTCTGGCAACCCGCGCCCATACCCGCAGCCAGTCCTCCTCCCTCCGCCTCCGACGCCACATAAGGGTACGGGTGCGTGTGTTGTTGTTGTTGTTGTTGTTGTTGTTGTTGTTGTCGTTGGTGGTGGTGGTGGTGGTGGTGGTGGTGGTGGTGGTGGTGGTGGTGTTGATGTTGTCGTCGTCGTCGTCGTCGTCGTCGTCGTCGTCGTCGTCGTCGTCGTCGTCGTCGTCGTCGTCGTCGTCGTCGTCGTCGTCGTCGTCGTCGTCGTCGTCGTCTTCGTCGTCGTTGTTGTTGTCTCGTCAGGAACGGCGTGTATGAGAGCGCGGCACGGGAAAGCGCAGCGCGCAGTGAACGCGCACGAGCCCGTGCAGGCCCGTGGCCACGGCAGGGCCTTGCTGGCATGAGACTCGAGCCGCCCTCGAGGTGCTGAGGCTAAGCACGGCTGGAGGGTGGCAGGAGAGGAGAGGAGGAGGGTCGAGGAGGGAGGAGGAGGAGGAGCAGGAGGAGGAGGAGGAGGAGGGTCGAGGAGGAGGAGGAGGAGGAGGGTCGAGGAAGGAGGAGGAGGAGAGGAGGAGGAGGAGGAGGGTCGGAGGAGGGATCTTCGAGGAGGAGGGTCGAGGAGGAGGGTCGAGGAGGAGGGTCGAGGAGGAGGAGGAGGAGGAGGAGGAGGAGGGTCGAGGAGGAGGGTCGAGGAGGAGGAGGAGGAGGGTCGAGGAGGAGGAGGAGGGTCGAGGAGGAGGAGGAGGAGGAGGGCACGGAAACGGCCAGGGCATGAAGGGGCGGAGGCACGAGAGGGCGAAGGGCTGAGGCACGAGAGGGGGGAGCTGGTGCTCCCAGGGAGCACGGGCAGACGGTCACGCACCGCCCAAGACTCGCGCGTGCCCGTCCCAACCAGTCCACGCGGGCGGTGACCGCAACGATGGTCCTCGAGAGCACCGGCGGTGGGAGGAGGGGAGGAGCGAGAGAGAGCGGAAAAGAAAAAGGAGTCCGACCTTGTACACATATATCATGCTCTGTTTCTTCCAGAACATGAACCAAAAAGCGCCAATCGCTCACGGCCCTAATGCTCCACGAACCGGCGCCAGACCCTCACCGACACCCCCACTCCCCTGCCCCAGAAGCAGCAGGGCAAGGGCATCGTAAACAACACAAGCATGTTGCTCATAGTGCAGGCGCCCCCAGAATCGAATCGATAAGTCGGATCGACGTTCGAAATGAATCGGATCGGCAGAAATCGGCAGCCGAGTCGGGAAAAGTCGGATCGGCGGAAATCGGCAGGCAAGTAGGCCTCCAGTGAGAAATCGGATCCCAAATCGGAATCCGACATCGAATCGAATCGGAATCGGAACCCCTCGAAATCGAATCGAATCGGCGGCGTCAAAATGAGCCCTGATGCTGCTCGCCCACTGGCGCGCACAATCGCTCCGCACGACGGTCACGTCACGTCAGGGCGGGCGCCCCGCAGATGGGTGCGGGGCTTCCCCGGGAGCACGGAGGGAGGTGGGTGGAGGAGGGAGGAGCGAGGAAGAAGCATGGAGCAGTGCGGGAAGAAACAGGTGGAGGAGAGCGACGAGGAGGAGGAGGAGGAGGAGGAGGAGGAGGACGAGGACGAGGGGGAGGACAGGTCGAAACGAGACACATGCGAGAAAGCGAGGGGCGGAGCCGGGTGCGAGACGAAACGGCACGCGCCCGACCGAACAAGAGGGCAGCGCAGGTCGGGCACAGCCAGATCCAAAGTAGGGCGACGAGATCTATACATATCCACTGCTCCTGGCCAGACCCATCCTGGGCCCAGGAGATGTGTATATGCCTCCCTGGCCAGGCCAGGAGGGCGTATACACCGCTCCTGGGCCCAGGATTGGCCTGGCCAGGAGCAGTGGATATGCATAGATCTCGTCGCCCTACAAAGCAGCACGGGTCGAATCGCAGCTCTTCCGATCCAGGGGGAGAGGCAGCGAAAGGGGGAAGTAGAGGGCGGAAGGGGAGAGGCGAACGGAGCGGAGCGGGCGACTGAATCTCAAGCAGCCTCACCGGGGCCCCACAAGTGTCCCACGGGTGGCCCAACGGGTGGCCCCACGGTGTGCTGACGCGTGGGATTCGAAATCCCAGGAGCGCTGCGGCCCTGCGAATGGCCTCACGTGGGGGCCACCTGTGGCCCCCACAGGTGGCCCCCTATCAGGTGCCCCACAAGTGACCCCGCTGCCTTCAGCTAGTGTCCTCACGAGTTGCCCCAGGGTGCCCTCACTCGTGCTCGCACACGTGGCCCCGCAGTCATCGGAGGTCTGAGCGTCGTTCATCACTTCTCTCCTCAAGTGGCTGCTCCTGGAGAGCTGAATTCGTTCTCGGCTCGGGGTTTCCCTCGGTGCTGATCTGGACAGAGTTCCAACTCAGCCCCACCACATTCGGTTCGACTCGGCATGGTCCAGCTGAGTACCTCTCCTTACAAATTCATGTCCTGCTGCGCGCGGCACGTCTGGCCACCGTGACAGCGCAGCGCTCTGAACCGTAACATGTGTACCCTCTCGTCTCGGTGCCTTGAAACACTCCGATGGGGTCGACCTCGTCTATTTCCCAACCATCCTGCGATGTGGGGTCTTCGTTTTGCATCCGCAGCGCACCGCGTTCACTCCTTATTCCCTTGACCCCTCCTCCTCCCATCTTTGCCTCGGCCCTTCGCATACCCTCATCGTCATCACCATCAACAACAGCAACAACAACAACAACAACATCATCATCAGCAGCAGCAGCATCATCATCACCATCATCACCATCATCACCATCATCACCATCATCACCATCATCACCATCATCACCATCATCACCATCGTCATCGTCATCATCGTCATCGTCGTCATGATCACCATCAGCATCATCCATCATCAGCAGCAGCATCATCATCACTTCATGACTCCTCGGGCCCGTGCTACCTGGCTGGAGTCGCTCTCTAGTCACCGGTGGCCGTCGCACCAGCGCGGCGGGGTGCAGGCAGACACAACAGGGTGCGTCGGACCGTCGGGCAGCTGTTGCATCTGCAACGCCCGGTTGCGGCTCCCCGCCAGAGCCCACGGCATCGGGGGATCGTGTATATTCACAGCACTGCGACCACAAACCCTAGTCTTGCTGCACCAAGTCCAGCCCTTGTGCAACGGCGGTGCACGCGTTCACGTCCCTCGACTTCCTCTTGGCCTCCGGGTGTCCCTCGTACGTTGGCGGCCCGTCGCCACTGGCTAGGCCTATCAATCCGGTGCACTTCGTCCCTGTCCTCTTCCGCGAGTTCACTGGGGTATGACATCGGGTGGAAAAAACACCTATGCCGCGGCAGCGTTGCGCACCTTCCTCGCGGAGCTCTTGTACATCATGATGGTGAGCAGCCCTGTTTCTGTCAGTCAGGCTCGGCCCTACACCGAGAAGGACTGACCGCGCATGGGTCTGGCGCCCCCACCGTGCCAGCAGCGTCGTGTGATATACCTCGTGGTTTCTGGTGCGCAGGTTCGCGTTCTCAACTTGGCACTAACGCTACGACTAACGCTACGTGTCATAGCGTTGTCAATTTGTTATGTTGTGGTTTTTCGGGGTGCGAAAGCATGTGTGCAACAATTTCCGGGGGGGAACCACATTGTTGAAATCATGTGCGAAACAATATTCGGGGGAGACGGCGGTACGGCCGCAAAGAATCAGGAGAGTAGCGCTGACATTGCTTAGTTCTGGAGGGGGGAGGGAGCATGAAGAGATGGGAGAGAGGGGAAGTGCGAAAGGAGAAAGGAGAGAGCGGTGAGGGAGACAGGGAGGGGCAAGTCAAATCCTGGGTGGGGGGGCTTCGGGCAGCAATCTGGGCCGGCCCGCTGACAGTCTCTGGCGCACCAGTTGTGTTTGTTCAGCGCAGTCTGACGAAGAGACGCGGTCGACAGAATCTTGCAGTGCGAGCCTGCACAGCAAACGCCGCCACAAATCACACACTCGAGACCGTCGCTTCGCGCGGTCACGGCCGCCCCTCTGACCTGCGGGGAGGCCCAGCCCACGCACGGATTTGTTTTGTTTTGTGTTGCCACAGCGCGTGGAGACGCAGGAGAGAAGCTCCCAGGGACGAGGAGGAGGAGGAGGAGGAGGAGGAGGAGGAGGGGGAGGGGGAGGAGGAGGAGGAGGAGGAGGAGGAGGAGGAGGAGGAGGAGAGGAGGAGGGAGGAGGAGGAGGAGGGAGGAGGAGGAGGAGGAGTGAGGAGGAGGAGGGGGGGCGCAGCGATCGCACGCACCCCGTGGGCAGAGCGACGAGCCCCCGGCTCGAGAGCGGTAGCCTCCTAGCCGGCGAGCAGCCCGGCGGCGACGGCGAGAGGCCGCCGTCGCCTGCGCCGCCCGCCGCACGCACGCCGAGCGCACCGCGCGCTGGTCGCGCGGGCCCCGGGCCGAGACGTCGCAGGCACGCCGCCCAGTCACCACGCGGCTGCGAGGATGACGACATGCCCAGTGGCCCTGCTCAGGACGCTTGCCGTCGCAGCCGCCAGGCTGACTGGCCGAGAGGTGCAGGTGGCGTACAGCACGGCTTTGCCAGCGTCAAGAGCCAAAACCTATGCGGAGCCTGCCCATCATCCCGTCACCGTCACCGTGGTCGTTGCAACCATGGACACAATCGTCCTCCTCCTCCTCCTCCTCCTCCTCCTCCTCCTCCTCCTCCTCCCCCTCCTCCTCCTCCTCCTCCTCCTCCTCCTCCTCCTCCTACACGCCGTCGTTCCCATCGTCGCTGCCCCTCTTCGCTTCCCGGTCTCTCCGAGAGTTCGAAGAACTGCCTCGACAGCCGCGCGAGGGACACGAGGATCACGGCCTGCGTGGCGCGGCCAGCCCCCAGGCGGCAGCAGCGGGGGGGCTGGACCCTCGCCTTGGAGAAGTCGGAAGGAGGAATGGGGACGAGGTCGAGACGCTGTCCATGCCCTTGGCCCTGGGAAACCACACGGGTGGCTAAGCAAGAACCAGGGTCCGCAGAATGGTCCGGCGCAGGAGCTCCGAGGGGGACAACACAAGCAGACTCGGGGCCAGAACTCGTTCCTCCTCCTCCTCCTCCTCCTCCTCCTCCTCCTCCTCCTCCCTCCCTCCTCCCCTCCCTCTTCCCTCCCTTCCCTCTGCTGCCCCTCCTTCCTCCTCCTCCTCCTCCTCCTCCTCCTCCTCCTCCTCCACCTCCTCCTCCTCCTCCTCCTCCTCCTCCTCCTCCTGGCTCGTAGCTGGAGGCGCTCGAGTTCGTCTCACTGACCTGCCTGGCGCCTGCCTACGCCTCGCACATCGGCGGGGCGGTACACGCAGTCGTGCACCATCGGCAAGAGGGCGGATGCCTCTTGGGGGGAGAGGCCGAGCGGAGACCTGGCGCGCGGATGGTGGGCGAGGTGGAGGAAGAGGTGGAACGAGACAACCATGACGACGAGGGACGCGGGAGAAGGGGTGAGAAGGCCGAGACGTGAAATTGGACACGCTGGGAGCTCTCGCTTCAAAATAGTGGAGACTAGCTCACGAAATTTGTGGCATACAAGATAGTGAGCAATCGAGTCAGGACGTGGACAGCCTAAAACACACAGACATTCGTCATCTCTGTCGTGAAAGCGTGAGCGAGTGGGCCAGCCTCCACAGAGAGTCTTTACACACGCCTGAGACCAATGAGGCTGGAGTTTCTGAATGACGGCCTGGACAGGAGGCCAGTCGATGGACTCGATCACAACTCTGGCCTCGGGGAAATAGGCATGAAGACGACGAGAGAAGGTGAGGTGCAGAGCGGAGGGGAAAAGAGAGGCATGTAAGGAGGCGGCAACAGTCTTCTGCAATTTAAAGCGCGTGCTGGGGTCGGCCAAGAGATCTTTTCCCACGGCGACAGCTGTAGCACCCGCGGAGGCCCATGCGGGGTATCCCTTAAAGCCTTCAGCAGCCTCTTGGAGAAGGGAGACGAGGGGCCTCGAGGACCAAAAGGAGGGGGAGAGATCGTGGGCGACCAATCGAACCACAGGGAGGTTCCTGTCAGCACAGTTCTGCATTCTTTGGAGGAGCTGAGGCCATTGCGAAAATGTCTGAAGCGACCCCCGAATGAGGGTGGCAAGATTCTGAACTAGAATGCTCTGAAACTTCGGGCACCCCCAGTCCTGGAGGTGGAAGAAGTCAGCCCGGGCTAAATCGCAGTGCGCAACCGCAAAGATACTGGCCAGGGAGGCGTGCTCTCGGCGAAGCATAAACTGCGGAAGAAGGGCGAATTGGGATATATATACCCGAGCGTGGACACAGCGCGCTGATTGTATAGCTTGGCTGCAACGGTCGGAGGTGGCCTCGCACGAGAGATGGCGGCACAGCGAGAGGCGTACTTGGCCAGCGGGGAGGCCCAGATCTGTTCCGAGACCGCTGGTCCGAGGCGAACGCCGAGATACGTGAGGTCAGACACTATTCTAAAATCGGCCCAGGCAGGAAGGTTGGATTTGATCCAATCCTGGACTCTAGAACGGAGCTCAGGGGTAAAAGCCGAACAAAGAGGAACCGCAAAGCATTTCGTGATCTTTAAATGGAGGCCCGCGACTCTGGCCGCTGCTTGGAAAACAATATACAGTTTTGGAAGCCATTGGATTCTGTGAATGACACTGCCTACATCATCTGCACAGCAACGGACTATACCCCGTCGCTTGTCGATTATACTGATACGGAAATGGGCGTTGAAAGGCTGGGATGCAAGGGCATAAAGGGCACCCGAGGCGGGGCACCCTTGGACGATGCCAGACCCAATAAAGAAGAGGGGACGGAGAAGGGACCCGGCTTGCCCAAAGCAACAGACAAACGAGTAAATGAGCCTGTAAAAGGACAGAAGGGGAGCGGGGATGTTGCAGGCAGAGAGGACACGGAAAATCCAGGAATGGGAGATAGATGGGAAAGCTTGTCCAAAATCGAAAGCGAGGAGGAGGGGGAGGCGCTCAGAGGCTCCAGGTTCAACTCCAGACATTCGAGCGAAACCGTCCAACTCGAAGACGTTATAGCCGAGGTTTCGTGTAGGAACGAAGCCACGCTGCATGGGGTCGACTGTGTCTGGGAGGGCTCGGGAGAGACTGCGCGTGCATACAGCTGTGACCACCTTGCAATCTGCATTCTTCAAGCCGAGCGGTCTCGTAGCACTCGAGGTGCGCACTGGGCCAGCGCCGTCTCCTGGCTCATCGCCTTTGGCCAGGTAGACGCCGCGAACATCGTTGAAACTTGATCCCATTGAGAAGCCCTGCAGGGTCCAGTGCATGACTTCAGCGAGGACTCGGGAGCCTTTGGGATGGAATTGCCAAGCCTTGTAAGGGAGCCCATCGGGTCCAGGAGCACTAGGGGGGCACCTTCGGAGATGTCGGGCGATGTCGTATTCCGTGGGGGGCTTGATATTGGAGAGGTCAATGTTACCTAAGAACTTCTGGACATACACCTGCGCGGCGGCAGAGTCGGTGAGCTTTGCAGAGAAAACTTCCCCCCAGTGTGAGGCCAGCCCAGCGAGCATCTGGTTGGGATCGGTGGTGACGGATCCGTCGGGGAGGGCGAGACCAGCGAGGCCCAACTTGCGGCCCCACGGGAGCCAGAGCTTCCCCCGGCGCTCGAGGCCTTTGAGTTTTCTGGCAAGCTTGGCTCTCACACGGGCTGGGGTCTCTTCACCTAACTGCTTCTTGATGCGCTTCTGGGCGTCGGCCAGCATGCGCAAGTGGATATCGTTAGACTGCTGCGTGAACCTCGTCGGGTCCTTCAGCTCAACTGTGGTCGTGAAAGGCGGCAACTCCAAGTGATCTCGAGCGAGGACGTGAGCGCGAACGAGTTTCTCAGCGAGCGATCGGTCTTGATTCTTAAGGGCTCTGGCGATGGATCGGATCACGACGTAGCAGGAGAGGGAATCGAGCGGACGTTTGATAATAATGGAATCACGAGCATGTCTGGCTGCCTCTTTCATGACCATCTTATGAAACTCAAGCAACTGCGGCACAGACAGGTCGTCGGTGTTGACCTGCTCGAGCACAGACTTAATGAAGGCTGCGTATTCGGGCGTAGCGTAAAGATCAGGGTGCACTGGCCTAGCGTCTGGAGGGAGGGGACGTCGAGTAGATAAAGCAATAGAGATAGCAGAATGGTCGGAGAGGTTGGTACGAGCGAGGATCTCTGGAAGACCGCTCCTCCCCCTCCCCCCTCCCCCTCCCCCTCCCCTCCTCCACCTCCTCCTCCTCCTCCTCCTCCTCCCTCCTCTCCTCCTCCCTCCCCTCCTCCTCCCCTCCTCCTCCTCCTCCTCCTCCTCCTCCTCCTCCTCCTCCTCTCCTCCTCCTCTCTCCTCCTCCTCCTCCTCCTCCTCCTCCTCCTCCTCCTCCTCCTCCTCCTCCTTCCTCCTCCTCGCTTCCCCCCTCCTCCTCCTCCTCCTCCTCCCTCCCTCCCTCCCCCTCCCCTCCCTCCCTCCCTCCCTCCTCCTCCTCCCTCCTCCCTCCTCCCTCCCTCCTCCCTCCTCCTCCCTCCCTCCTCCTCCCTCCTCCCTCCTCCTCCTCCATCCTCCCTCCTCCCTCCTCCCTCCTCCTCCCCTCCTCACCCTCCTCCTCCTCCCTCCTCTCCCTTCCTCCCTCGTCCCCCTCGTCCCTCCTCCTTCCTCCCTCGTCCCCCTGCCTCCTCCCTCCTCCTTCTCCCTCATCCCTCCTCCCTCCTCTCTCCTCCCTCCTCCCTCCTCCCTCCTCCCTCCTTCCTCCTCCTCCCCCTCCCTCCCCCTCCTCCCTCCCTCCTCCCTCCTCCCTCCCCCCTCCCCCCTCCCCCCTCCCCCCTCCCCCTCCCCCCTCTCCTCCTCCTCCCTCCCTCCCTCCTCCCTCCCTCCTCCTCCTCCCTCCTCCCCCCCTCCCTCCTCCCTCCCTCCCTCCTCCGGCCTCCTCGCCTCCTCCTCCTCCCTCCTCCTCCTCCTCCTCCTCCTCCTCCTCCTCCTCCTCCTCCTCCGCCTCCTCCTCCTCCTTATCCCTGCCCCTCCCTCCTCCTCCTCCTCCTCCGCCTCCTCCTCCCTCTTCCTCATCATCCCTTCTCCCTCCCCCCTCCTTCGCCCCCCTCGGACAGAGACAGAGGCAGCGTGGAAGGAAGCCCGGCCCACCTGAGACGTCGGCGAGGCGAGCCTCATTAACGGCGGGGTCCTTGGAAGGGGCTCGATCCCTCATGCGGCGCAGCGTGCCCACGGCGGGCCCCCAGCCGCCCGCAGCGAGGAGGCGGCGGCGAGGGCCCCCTTCAGAGGGAGACGGCGCCCGCCATCGCCGAGGGGCCGTGGCTAGCGCCCTGCCGAAGGGCAGGGCGAGGAGGAGGAGGGGGAGGAGGAGGAGGAAGAAGACTACTGCTGCTGGCACCCATGCTTCTGACAATGCTCGCATTCCCAAGAACTACACGTCCCACGCGCCCAATTCTCGCATTAACAGGAGGAGGAGCAGCAGCAGCAGCAGCAGCAGCAGCAGGACGAGTAAGAGCAGGACAACCAGGATGGCGAGAAGGAGCTCGACGAGGAGGAATCTGAGTCTGAATCGATGACGGGCTCTCTCCGACGGGCGGGAACCCACGAGCACGGAGCCATCTGAGGGAGTTGCTGATCCCGCTCTCAAGCCGCGGACCCCTGAGACAGCCTTGGCATCAAACCGAGGTCCGCCTTCGTCGGGCCTCGTGGGGACCAGGGGCAGAGACGAGCTGGGCGGGGGCTACACCAACATCGCCGACGCACTCAACAAAGCACCACACCCCAGCGGCAACCAAGCCTATGGAATGAGAGAGCATGAGAATGCGCAGGACGGCCGATCGCCGCTGTGGGGGCCGTCGGACAGGACGAGGGCGGCGACGAGCAGGAGCAGGATGACGACGGGCGAGACGATGCGGGCAAGCAGGTCGGGGAGC